TTCCTGGAGAAGTTGGCATAACACCATGCAGGGGGGCTGAGACACAAAGAAGTATAAAAACAGGAAAGGGAAAAGGAGGGTCAGAATCTCTTTTACTACTGGCATGCCTCTTTATGAGTGGAATACAGTGAAGTGCTTTCGAATGTCCTTGGTGTGGTCTTAATAAACTTCTGTATTCAAGAACTAACTGCTTAGCTTTCTCCATCTCTCCTGCCCTCACCCCTTTGGCTCAGTGTGGATTCAGGTGGAGGTGCGATGACCCTTTCAGCTTATTTGCACTGGGCCTGAGCTCATGTTGCCCTCACAATTCTGGTCTTTGCATGGGGTTCCATCTGGACCAAACAAGGTGTGACAAGGCGTATTCATTAACGTGCCCTTCTGTTCACATGCAAACTGTGAAGCTATTTCTTTTTACCGAGATTGAAGTGCATCAAGTCAACCTATTTGCTAGCCTCGGCTGCCCTAACCTTACCTCAGTGTGCGTCACTGAATCCTATGAGCTTCTCTCCTTGGGTGGGGAATACAGGCCCGTAGCTACAGTGGGGCCTCCCGGGGCCCAGCCCCCTGACTTCTTCCCAAGCCCCCCGACTTTGGGGGAGGCCATGCCCACCTGCACTTGGCTTGGAGTGCAGGCGTGTAGCTGTAATGGTACCATCAATGGTACCCCGCTTCTCCCTCAAAGCATTTATAGGAACCTTTTAAATGCTTTGGGGGAGAAGCAGGGGCCATGTGTGAATTTCAGTGCCCCCTAATTTTTTAAAAGGCCCCCCCAAACTAAAAAATCCTAGCTATGGGCATGGGGGTATAACTGCCTCTTTACACAATAAAAGGAAGGATTTACAACTTCTAAATATACAAAAAGATCAACTGTCACCTTAACTTCCTCTTTAAAAAGTTTTGTCTCCCAAATTACATTTACTTCAATTGCTTCCAATGGGTCATGTGACAGGTCATTAATTTTGACATTGATTTTGAGTGTAGGGTAGGTGTTAGGCAAGCCTCAAAGGAAAGGGTATCCCATAGGTAAGGTGCCGTGCCAGCACTGAAAATGCACTGTCTCTGGTTGCCACTTGCCTCCCTTTTGAAGGTGAAGGTACAGACATCAGGCCTTGTGAGGCAGATTTTAACCAATGGGTTGGATAATCTAGGAGGAAGAAGTCCTTCAAGTACCCTCACCTCAAGCCATTTAGGGCTTTAGAGACAAGAACCAGCACTTTGAATTGTGCTCTGGAAACAGATGGGCTGCTAGTGCAGATTTTTTTTCAGCACAGCACAGTGATATTCCTGTATCCCACCCCTGACAGTAGTCTAGCTGCCATATTTTGAACCAGCTGTTGTTCTGGGACAGTCTTAAAAGCAGAGGTCCATCAGTGGCTATTAGTTACAAGGTATAGATGGAACACTATGTCTGGGGCAGTGATGCTCTGTATTCTTGGTGCTTGGGAGGCAACAGTGGGAGGGCTTCTGGAATCCTGGCCCTGCTGGTGGACCTCCTGGTGGACCACAATGGTTTTGGCCATTGTGTTACACAGAGTATTGGACTGGATGGGCCATTGGCTTGATCCAACATGGCTTCTCTTATGTTCTTAAATGCAGCCCCATGAAGAGCTCATTCCAGTAATCTTACCCAGATGTAGTCAGAGCTTGGATTACTTTGGCCAAGTCATGTTTTCTGAGGAAAAACTGTAGCTGTTGTATCAGTCAAAGTTGATAAAAAGCACTACATGCCACGGAGGACTGAGCCACCAGCTGTAGGCCAGGATCCGACACCACCCTAAAGTTCTGAACGTTCTCCTTCAGGAGAAGTGTAGTGTAACCCCCTTCAGGACAGGCTGACTCCTCAGTCCTCAAGCAGCTTTGTCACTAACCAACTGCATCTCAGACTTGTCTGGACTAAGCTTCAGTTGACTGGTCCTCATCCACCCGTCTCCAGGCATCTGTTCAGGACTTCAACCTGAACTCAGCTGTTAAGGAGAAGCAGAGCTGGGTGTCACCATGTATGGGCGGCAAAAAAGGGTAAAGGTTTCCTTTGCTTGAAAGCGAATCCGACTCTAGGGGGCGGTGCTCATCTCCATTTCCAAGCCAAGAGCCAGCACTGTCCAAAGATGTTTCTGTGGTCATGTGGCTGGCATGACTAAACCCCAAGGTACACGGAACTGTTACTTTCCCACCAAGGTGGTACCTATTTATCTACTTGCAATTTCTTGCTTTCGAACTGCTAGGTTGGCAGGAGCTGGGGCCAGAGACGAGAGCTCACTCCATCACACGGTGCTAAGGTCTCAAACTATGGAGCTACAGACCTTCTGGTCTACAGCTCAGCGTCTTAACCCCTGAGCCACCGTGGCCTTTACTCCAAATCCCCTAATGATCTTCCCATGCAGATGTTAAACCAGACCCGTAGCTACAGTGGTGCATCTCGAGGCCTGGCCCCCTGACTTCCTGCCATGGAGTCCCCAGGCCCCCGGCTCTCTGGGCTACCCAGAGGACTCTCGACTCTCTGGGCCAACTGGAGGATTCCCCGTTGGCACCCCTTCCCTAAACGCGGCTTGCTTCCCTGCGTAGGCAAGCAGAGTGCAAACGCCACAAAAGTGTTTTAAAATTTTACTTTTATTTTATTTGTTATTTTGTGATATCAGTGTCCCCCGACTTATTTAAAGGCCCCTTGAAATACAAAATCCAGGCTACAGCCCTGTGTTAAACAGCATGGGGAACAAGCTAGCAGCAGAAAACCTTGTCCCACAAATGCCATGATGCTGAGCAGCAGTTCCCTAGTACCACCTTTTAAAATCAGCCAGTCAGATTAGGGCAGAACCACAGAAGTATGGTGCCATTTACATTAAAAAAAATTAAATCTGGAGTGCATACATTACCTACAAAACTGAAACCTGTGGATTAAGTGAAAATGGCCTTGCTGACTTTTCCTTTAAAAATTATGGTTTAATGGAAAAGATTGGCAACTTGGCTACATTTCTGGTTTCTACATAAACACACACAAACAAATCTGGCAATTGGCCTAAAAGAAAAAGGAGGAGGAAACGCTAGTATGCTTCTTTTTTGCTGGTCGTAGAAGTATCCTACCCCTTTAATAGAGGCTTATTACACATTAGGTTTCTATTCAGGGGCACAGGACAGTTTTCTGTAGGACTGCTGGCAACCCTAGTTGTGGGGAAGCAGAAAAGACAAATTTTAGTGCAGACTGACATAGATTCACGATTAACAGCCCGAATCTATGGAGAGGTAGGTATTCCTTATCTGACGGTATATATTACAGCTGTAAAGGGAAAATCAGGCAGAAGCCGCCTTTCTCCAACAGTTCTCGCGTCGTCAAAAAGGAAAGCGAAAAGCTTCACTTGCTGGCACTGCGCATGCGGCAGCTGCCGCCGTAAGAGTCCCGTATAGCAAGATGCAAACAAGTACTGGTCATATGACAGATAGGAGGCGGAGCGGAAGGTTGTAATATGGCTGCGCCCATGAACAGCGAGACTCCAGTGTCTTTGCGGTTCCCGGTGAAAGTCTCGTGTGCCCATGGATCGGGGGGATTTTTTGGCCTCCCTGACGGTGAGTGAGTGGCTGAGTGAGGATTTGAATGTATTTGTTAGAGGTAAATAAGTAAGCAAGGCGCATAACGACGAAATAGGGTGCGAAGTGTGAAAAGGATTTCCAGGAACCTAGCCTCGCAAGGGAAAACGTCTCGGGGTTGAGGGAGAAATGGTATACTATTTGTTGGATCTTATCTCCTTGTGCGTACTGACATTGTGCCTCGTAATGATACGTCTACTGCCACATTGACAAAAAGAAGTTTACTTCCAAGTAAGTGTATTTGAATTGCATCTAATCATTGCCATTGAGTATGTGCGAGTTTGTTTCACTTCGTGTGTATGTGTGTGTATAATAGGATGAGAAGAAGGGAGTGTATAATAAACTAGATAGGAATAGGGAACTGGAGACATTCTTGGCTCTGGAGTTACTGTGGTGATTCTGTGGATCCTCTTTAAATAGCAGTGATGTGGAACGGTTGGAGTGTGAGACCCAGATTGAAATTCTCACTCAGCTGTGGCCTTGGGCTAGTCACTCTTTCTCATTCAAACTTAGTTCTCAGGCTTGTTGTTAGGGGAAATGAAAGAAGGGAGAACAGATGTATGGCATCCTGAGCTTTCTGAAGGAAAGTGAGGGATTAAAAATGCAATAAACTGATAAAGATTAACAGTTTGACATTTTGGGTAATTATTTTGAGCTTTTTAGAAACCCTGTCTTTTAAGCAAAAGGTTCTCTTCCCCTTTCATTCCCTAATGGTAGTTTTGGGACTCCAATTATTTCCTTTTCACACTTCTCATTGGGGCTGGTGATGCACAAATCTCTTTTTCCAGCTGTGGTTGCACCAGATAGACTGTACTTTCTTTCTTTCCCATTCAAGTCTACCTCACTGGATTGTTGCAGACATAAAAACAAGAGCTATAAAAACTTGTACCTGGGAAATGTTTTGGGTTTTTTTTAGATGTTTTTGTTGCTTTTATATACTACACATGCACAGGGAAGGGGGATAGGGAATCACTATAACTATATTGTAGAAAAACTTGTACCTGGGAAATGTTTTAAGGGATATCTTGATATATATGTATGGGCAAGCCCTTGGAACCATGTGTGTGTGTTTTGCTGTGGTTCTCTGTGCATTAACTTGCGGAGTGGGATATATTCTGAATGCAAGAAATCAGAGTAATCATGCTTACACTCTTACTGTTAGAAACCTTTATACTAATTTTGAGTAAAGGGATTTTCAGAATGTACTTGAAATATGATTACAAATGTATGCATAATCTCTGGTCAACAGCAGTCAATGTTTTTCTTTTTCTGTATCATCTCTTCAGAGTGGTCTGGTACAGAGTCTCAGACTGAATCATCTGACACTATTTGCTTTGCAGTATATACCTGCTTTGTGCTACTAATGTGGAAATGACAATTAACTACTTCTGAGGTTCTTCTCAATGTGCAACGTACATGAATTATTCACATAATTTTTTAATTTCTCAAAATAAATTGGCAGTTGGCTTCTCCATAATAAAGCCTGAAACAAGCCTTTTTTATAGATGTCGATACAGTTTCTCCTGAGGGCAAGTGGTACAGGGGAAAGGGCTAACCTTCCATTTTACAAAGCTGCTATCCCAGACCACTTGTCCTTTAGCTCGCCTACGTTTACCTTTAAAAAGTGAAACTGGGAGTTCGTCACCCATTTGTCTGTCCATCAGTTTTTACCCCCACCCACAAGAGCTCAGGGTGGTGTGTGTCATTCTCCTATTCCCCCATTCTAAGAGCTAGTATGGTGTAGTGGTTAAGAGCAACAGTCTGTAATCTGGAGAACCGGGTTTGATTCCCTCCTCCTCCACATGAAGCCTGCTGGGTGTCCTTGGGCCAGTCACAGTTCTCTCAGAACTCTGTCAGCCCCACCTACCTCACAAGCAGTGTTCCCTCTAAGCTGAGTTAGTGTGAGCTAGCTCACAGTTTTTTAGCTTCTGGCTCACACATTGCTGTCTTAGCTCAGGAAGGATGGCTCCAGAGCAAACTAATTTATGCAGCAGTCCAATGGCTCACTCACAACTTTAATGCCAGTAGCTCACAAAGTAGAATTTTTGCTCACAAGACCCCACAGTTTAGAGGGAGTATTGCTCACAAGGTGCCTATTGTGGGGAGAGGAAGGGAAAGGTAATTTTAAGCCACTTTGAGATTGCTTAAGGTAGAGGAAGCACGGTATAAAAACCTCCTCTTCTTCTCCTTATCCTGAGTCCTGGAATTGCTAAACTGCATGATTAGAAGCCCAAAAGGGTGGGAGACAAATCCAGTTTTCTGTCCCAGAGGGACAGTTGTATTAGACTTGTTGCAGCAAAAACAAGATCAAGTCTTGTGGCATCTTAAAAACTTACTGTGGGAGACACTTTTGTGTGCCACAGCTTACTGCTTCAGATGTTTGCAATATATTTTAAGTTGGCAGACTGTGAAAAGGCATACAGCGTATTCTCAAAGATGTTCACTTTTTTCCTTTTTGTCACAATTGGCTATAGACAAGTGATGGGAATCAGAAAGATTTGTTGCGTGACTTGTTTTGGGAAGCATTTTAGGTAACTCCATCTGTGTAACGTATTGATTTAAAAAGATGATTTAGTTGTGCAGTTTGTTGGAGCAGTATATGGATCATTTTGAGGGATGACTGGGGAGGGGCCTACTTTTGGAGGTGTAAAAAGACTGTTATGCTTTTTGTGCATTTGGTAAGAATTTGCAGGCCTTAAACAACACTTTGCCAGGTCCACGCCAGTCTGTTTCAGTTATGTAGCTTTAATTCCATCCTAGACAATGTATGTTACACTTTCACAAGAAAACTGGATATGTAAGTAACTAGTTCTCATTACAAACTTAAGCATCCGTAGTTCAGTCTGGGTTTTGTCCAGCTGATTGAAAGAAACTGAAAACAAGGGATATAAATTCTCTTCTTCCGAATTATATGGGAATGATAACTGGAGTGGTAAAAAGGTGACCAACATTAGAAACTGGTAGAGCTGGTAGGGATCTCAAGGGTCATCTAGTCCACCCCACCACAACACAGGAAATTCACAACTCCCCCCCCCCCCCCGCGCCCCCCCCCTGCTCTGCTGTATGTCCAGAGGAAAGCAAAAAACCTCCAGGACCCCTGGCCAGTCTTGCCTGGAGGAAAATTCCTTCCTGACTCTAAAGTAGTGATTGGTATTACCCTAGGCATGTAAGGAAGGGTCACGAGAGCTAAACACCAGCTCATCTCTTTCTGCCCTCCCTCTCAAGAATCCGCCTAAGTTCACAAAATCAGCACTGCTGTCAGATGGCTATCTAGCCTCTGTTTAAACACCTCCCAAGAAGGAGACCCCACTACCTCCCATGGAAGCCTGTTCCACCGAGGAACCTCTCTGACTGTCAGGAAGTTCTTCCTGATGTTTAACTGAAATTATTCTTATGAAGCGGGCATGGTGTCTCTTGATAAAATATTGAGATTAACCAAATCCATGTGACTGGAAAAGTGCTTTTATGTATTGTCAGAACTTTAATATAGCAGTCAAAAAATTAATGTGACTATCTCCCAGTTGGACACCTTATACAGAATTAGCCCATTGTTCTGTCAAGGTCGGTATTGTTTAGTGAGACAGACAGTGATTGCCTAGGGCGGGGGTGGCCAAACTGTGGCTCGGGAGCCACCTGCGGCTCTTTCAGACATATTGTGAGGCTCCCGTCAGGGCAGCTGGGGAAGTTAATATCATTAGCAAACAAGCATCATTGGACAAATAAATATCATTATCAATATCTGCTTTTACCACTTTTGTTATTATTTTGGCAGTCTCATTTAATGTTAATAAAAAGCAAATCTGCATATTTACCAGTAAAAACATGTAATATTTGCGGCTCTCAAACATCTGACGTTTATTCTGTGTGGCTCTTACGTCAAGCAAGTTTGGCCACCCCTGGTCTAGGGTCTCACTTAAGGGTCTGTCACATCACCAGCTACTTGATCTTTCTAACTGGAGATGCCAGGGACTGAGCCAGGGACCTTCTGCAAGTAAAGCAGATGCTTTGCGGCAGCAGCCATGCTCCCTGAGATCCTTTTAGCTAGAGATGACGGGGCAACTGGCTCGGGATCTTACCTGTGCAAACCATGCGTTCAAATCACTGACTTACTGGACCAGTGTTTCTAGAGGACAGGTCTATGGAGCACAGACCAAAGGTAGCTTGCAGGTGCCTGGCATACATGAAGTATGTTCATAATAGCAGAACACATCTGAATTGCATTTCAGAAGACAGGTAAAAGTAGGAGTATGCAGTCAGCCTTAAAGCTGAAGATGAAGCGCTGAGAGAGGGTGTCTATTTTTTCCTTGCTGTCTTCTGCCCAAACATTACTATTTTCCACAGATGGAGTAGTTATTCAGGTACTTGCAGTCCCTGGCAGATGCTCCATTAGCCACTTCATGAATTTAAATTGCGTGTAAGATACAGAAGTTTGAAATCCAAAGAAGCAATTAGTAACTTTTGATTCATGCTTTTGCCAGGTGGCAAGATTAAAATCAGATCAATTTTCTTTTTCTTTTTTAATCACTTGCTGGAGATAAGAATTCTGATGGAAAAAGAGCTAGGAGGATACGGGGTGTGGGGTGGTGGTGGAAGGGAGAGGGAGAGGAAATCAATGCATGCAAAATAGCCAAGCAGATTAAAAGAGTAATTAACTTATTGATTTAAACTTTAACTGTAGCTAGTGAGCACCTCTTGAATAGGATAAAAAGGAATATCGGGATGGAGGACAGCTTTACTCGGCTGCCATTATCAAAGCAAGCTTTCATCAGTACCACGTGGACTGAAACCAATCTCTGCTGGCTTGATTTTTCAAACCAAGTGAATGTTTTAATGAATGTTTGGGTGCTGACTCAGGTTGCCGGGGGGGGGGGGGAACTTGTTAATTTACGTTGCTTGCTGGCTTCCAATGAGAAATTTTGTTAAATGATGCCATATGATAGCGCAGCCAGCAAATGTCGTCATTTGCTAGTCGTCCTGCCTAAATTGCTTACGCTGGTCTTTAAAGAAAAAGGAAGCCAGCTTTTGTAAGACTTCCTGGCTTGGCCATCTTCAGCCGGTTTTTAACTTACCACTAGTAATTAGTCAGAGCCGGCAACCCCTCGTGGAAGATGAGCAAGGGTGGCTTGCCATTGCTTGCCTCTGTGACATTAGAACTTCTTTGGTGGTCTCCCTTCCAAATACTAACCATGGCCAACCCTGTTTAGCTTCCAAGTTTGGGTGATTCAGGGGCTATAGTGATCTGTAGGGCTAAACGATAGGTTGAATCTTGATACGGTTTTGTTTAGTCAGTTGGCTACATACTGATATTTGCTTCTGGGTTTTTTTTTCATATTTGAAACTCTGTCCCTAATGGGGACCCAAAGCAGTTTACATTGTTCTCCTCCTCATCCTCACAACAACCCTGTGAGGTAGGTTAGGCTGAGAATGCATGACTTCCCCAAGGTCACCCACCAAGCTTCCATGGCAGAGTGGGGGGATTCGAACCTGGGTCTCCCAGATCCTAGTCCACCACTCTAACACCATGCTGGCTGTCAGATATAAATAACAGATTCTGGATTAGAACAAAGTTTGAGTCCAGTGGCACCTTTAAGGCCGACAAAGTTTAATTCTGGGTATAATCCTTTTAGTGAACCAGTTTGTTTCTTGCCTCCCCTCACCTCTCAGTAGGTAGGATATCTTTCCTATATAGTCACCTTTGTGGCCGGGTGTTTGTGAGTGGGAGTGCTGCTTCTCTTCAGTGGGCAAAGACCATCAATACCACCAGTGTGGATAGTGCAGCAGGGTAGAGCAGGGGTGACCAATGTAATTTAGGTACCTCAACCAAAGTCCTAGCAGAACATCTCCGTTTTACAGGCCCTGTGGAACTGAAGCAGATCCCGTAGGGCCCTGATTTCATATGGGAGAGTGTTCCACCAGGCTGGAGCCAGAGCAGAAATGGCTCTGGCTCTGGTCGAGGCTAGACGGATATCTTTTGAGCTGGGGGATCTCTAGCAGCTGTTGGTCCGCCGAGCGTAAAGGTCTTCAATGGTAGCATAGGGTGTAGAAGTTTGCAACTCTGTCTCTAGACTTTGACCCAGCCCAGGTTTATCATAATTGCTAAGTGCTGCTGCTGTAATAATAATTGGCTTAATTTGGCCACAGCAAACAAAGTTCTGCGTCTTGCTATCTTGTGCAAGCAATTCAGAAAATGGCACAAAATGTGACTAAACATTTTAAAACATTAGGTTTGTAAAAAGACCCCGGCTCCTGAAAATATTTCCTCATCCCTGTCTTCTCAGTTCTGTTCATTAAGTGAGTTCCCAGAAATGAGAACTGGGGGTGGGGAATCTGGAGGAAATGCTGGGGAGCAGTGTTCCCTCTAAGCTGAGTTAGTGTGAGCTAGTTCACAGTTCTTTTAGCTTCTGGCTCACACAATCTTGTCTTAGCTCAGGAAGGATGGCTCCAGAGCGAACTAATGTATGCAGTAGCCAAATTGCTCGCTCACAACCTTAATGCCAGTAGCTCACAAAGCGGAATTTTTGCTCATAAGACTCCACAGCTTAGAGGGACCATTGCTGGGGAGCAGTAGAAAAATATGATTTTTAAAAAATTTTGAATGAGAGAAATGCATTTTTGAGATTTGACACTCAAAATATATGGAAAATCGAATTTTTAAAAATATAAAACAATTTTTAACATGAGGTAATGGTAAGCTGTATAGACCGATTCACTTGTTTCAGAAGCTAGTGGGTACCATCACAAAATGGCTTCCATGGGAAAATCATAAGATGTTGGGAAGTCAAGTATTAGGATTACCACGTCCCCACCTGGTTGCCCCCCCCCCGGATGCTAATCAGCTGGCACGAAAAAAAAGGCTGAGGCTGGCTTTGCTAGCAATGCAGTGATATCCCTTCCGGTGCACACCAAAAGTGACATCATCACCTTGCTGCTAACGCAGGAAAACTGTCATATTTATTTATTTAAATTTATATACCAGCTTCCCCAAATGGAAAACACGTTTATTTTAATCATAATTGAAATACTTCTGTCTATTTGTGAAAGTTCAGAAAAAAACAGAAGAAACTGGAGAAAAAGCTCAGGAAAAAAAGAAAATGAAAACAAACCCCAGGTCTTTTTCTGACTAGTTACCATGGAAAATTTGGAAGAGCACAAAAAAAAAAAAACTCCTATAAAATATTTTCTCTTTCAGAATGAGTAAAATACTTCTGAAGGTGAGATTTTTTTTTCATACTCAAAATATATAGCATGAAAAAGTCTTGAGTATTTTCTCAATTTTTCTAGTGGGAAAATTAGGAGATTTGGGGGAGTATTAAGGGAAAGACCCTCTTACACTGTGGAGATATATAGTATTTTCAAGATTTTTTTTTGTTTTAATGTAAATTATTTTGGCAACAGTTAATCTATATATCTAATAGTGAATGGCGCCCCCTGCGTGCGGATACCTAAATCCACGCATCGGTGGCACCTGGGGGGAGGGAGATTTCTGTGCACACTTGGGGCAGTCCCCAGGTGTGCACAAAAATCTAAAAACCTGAAAAAAATATCGGGGGGATACTTAAATCCCCCCAAAAGTGACAGAACGTCCCCTGCGCTCTGCGAACTCCCTTGCCGCCGCTTGGGGGGGGGGAAAAGAGCAGCGAGGCCCGAGCGGCAAGCAGCGAAGCCCGAGCGGCAAGCCGCGAGGCCCGAGCGGGAAGCGCTGCTTCCTCCTCTGCCTCCTGTGTGGAGGTCCCTCCCCCCCGCGAGTATCGCGGGTCCCGCCCCCTTGTATATGTTTAATGTTAATACATTATTGAAGAGGTCAGTTTAGTTTATGGATGCCACCACATAATGGCTGCCATGAGGTGCTGGGAGGTCGCAGACCAAGATGATGGTTCTTTGGCTCTTCTGAATCACCTTCTCTTTGGGTGAGGTGGAGGAAACCCAGAACTAGTTATTTGCTTTTGGGAAGAAACAAATGAGTACCGAGGAACTCAATGGAAAGCATCATGGTGCCCAGGAGTGCCACACTGCTCTAAGGCGGCTCTGTGATCACATGGCTAAGTAAGGTGTGTTGGTCTTTGCTCTCCACCGTCTAATATTATAATCTATTGCACCACATATGCACCTCAGTTTCCATTAATAGCCCAACTGCATCTGTTTTTGCCTTTCTGTTGTAATTAACACATATATTCCATTTGTCTTTCTGTCTCCCTATTTTGAAGGCTGGAGGACTAGCTGGAATGTGTGTTGACCTGGTGTTATTCCCTTTGGATACAGTCAAAACCCGATTGCAAAGTCCCCAAGGATTTAAGAAGGCTGGTGGCTTCCATGGCATTTATGCTGGTGTTCCTTCGACGGCTGTAGGGTCTTTTCCAAATGGTAAGAACGTTTTATACGAGTTAAATATTTGAGATTGTTGTGGATACTAATAGTAGGTGTGGTTCCCAACCTCCAGGTGGTGGCTGGAGCTCTCCTGGGGTTACAACTGATCTCCAGGTAACAGAGTCCAGTTCTCCTGGAGAAAATGACCACTTTGGGAAGTGGACTCTATGGCATTATACCCAATTGAAGTCCCTCCACTGCCCAAACCCTGCCCTCCTTAGGGTCCACCCTCCCAAATCTCCAAGTATTTCCCAACCTGGAGCTGGCAACCCTAACGGTAGATAAAAGTTTTTTGTGTGACTTCTAGGCCATCGCCTTGTTTGCTCCACTGTAAAATGCTTGTGGGCTGTGAGGCTCCTCTCTCTCCACGGGCCTGCCCTCACTGTCTTGCTGGGTGTCTCAGGCAGATCTTCTCTGGCCCTGCTTCTGTCCTGGGTTGCCTTTGTGCAGGCCACTCCAGCCCTGCCCTGGCTTCTGCTGAGGCTGTGGAGGCTGAAATCTTCTCTGGGCCACTATGATGTTGGTCCCCAGCTGGTTCCTGTGCCTGAGCCTGCAGTTGGGGTGCCAGGTAAGGGCCCTGTGTTGGTTTCGGGAAGGCTGCTAGGCTCTGTCATCGGGGACGGGGCCACTGGGAGCTGTGACTTCCATGGCTGTAGTGGAGAGTCTGGTGCTGAGTCCAGTAGTATCTCTGGACAAGGCCCACCTAGATATTGTAGAAATCAGTATTGTTATCCATGCTGCCCTTAAGAGAAACCACCTCAGATTTGTTTTCTGAGGTGTGTTTGTTTACTCAGACATTATAGATGGATACTCTCTGCACATTGACCTGACAATCTATGCTTGTTTTGCTTCATGAAGCTCAAGTTGAGTTGCCTTCTGGTTCTTAAGCCCTGGGCGTATATTACCTGAACCTTAAATCTTGAACTTGCGGTCTTCCATGTTCTGAGTGCAGGAGGAAGTCCAGCTAATCCTTGCGGGGGAAGATTCTTGAATTTTAGTATAAGTGAATGTACCCTGTCTCAGATGGTAACACTTTCAGCATAGGCTGAAGTTCAGCTTGCGTTCACAAGCTAATATGCGATTTTTAAAATAAGTGACACTGAGGTCATGTATTTTGGTTTGTACAATGGTGCTGTTCAGTTCTTGGTGGACTGCAGTATCTGAGTTCAATGAAGATGATTATGATTATATGCTGCAAGGACAAAGCAAGCATTCATTTGCATAATTTATTCCCACAAATTAGCAAAATAAAAACTGTAACATCAAATTACAAAAGTGTACGGGGGTCCATTGAGATAATATGCAAAATTCTCAATACATAAGGTTTAAAGTAAAATGGACTTCCTTGGATTATTTACCTGATAGACAGTGGTGTGAGGAGGCCTGGATTTGACTGAGGAGGCCTGGATTCAAATCTGTACTCTGTTATAATACTCATGGAGTGACTTTGGGCTAGCCTAAGTTTCAACCTAATGTATGTCACAGAATGGTTATGAGCAATGTTCCCTCTAAGCTGTGGCGTCTTGTGAGCCAAAATTCTACTTTGTGAGCTACTAGCATTAAAGTTGTGAGCGAGCAATTTGGCTTCTGTATAAATCAGTTTGCTTTGGAGCCATTCTTCCTGAGCTAAGGCAAAAATGTGTGAGCCAGAGGTTAAAAACCTGTGAGCTAGCTCATACTAACTCAGCTTAGAGGGAACACTGGTTATGAGGATACAGTGGAAGAAGGGAGAATCATGTAAGTGGACTTGAGCTCCTTGGTGAAGGAGTGGGATAAAAATAAATAATATCCTTACACACAGTAGCTATCTAATGTGATGCACCCTATGATATAACCCTCCTCCCGACCTGGAGAAAGGGAAACTCACTAGAGGTGCCGTGGGCTCTTTCTTTATCAGATCCCAAAGGCACGTCAATTAACCACAGTCTCTCAAAAGAAAGACAATTTATTTTGTAAAAGAACAAATATCAGTACTTGCAAGAGTCCAAAACAGAAAACTTAGTCTCACTTTGTCTTTAAAAACAGATTCTTGCTCCGGGCAGAGTTTTTCTCAGAGCGGCTTACAAACTCCTTTCCCTTCCCCTCCCCACAACAGACACCCTGTGAGGTAGGTGGGGCTGAGAGAGCTCTTGACAGAAACTGCTCTTTTTCAAGGACAGCTCTTATCAGAACTGTGGCTTGCCCAAGGTCGTCCAGCCAAGTGCAAGTGGAGGAGTGGGGAATCAAACCCGGTTCTCCCAGATTAGAGTCTGCGCACTTAACCACTACACCAAACGGGATCACCAAACATAGGGCTGTCATCTTTCTCTTAACAGTAATAAGGTTTTAAAGAGCAAGATGCAACTGCAACTGAGCAGCACACCTACCTCCACACTCACTGCTTCTATATTACTTCTCCATAGAGTGCCCGACGGACAGCATCTGGGTGTTGAAAGAGGTCACCTTGCCTCAACCAGCCACATTTCCATAATTCATCTTATAAGATCTTGGTGACTCTTAGATGACCTCAGCGCAAAGTTATATAAAGTATGGTGCAATATGGCTTAGATGCCACGGTGGTAGCAAGCCTCTAAGACCTACGAACCCTTGAGATGCTTTGTTCCATTTTCACAGCTTTAAGCCTGTCACTGAAAAATCCAAGTTATCCCTTAGAACAGAGGTACTTAGTGACACTGAATTTTTAGTAGTGTTTTATATCACATTTCTACTTCTTGGAATGTTGAGAGCCACTTCAAGAATACATTTATATACATTTTTAAATAATAGCATGCCATGATCTCAGTGCCATCACCAAAAAGGCCCAGTCGCTCATTGCTGCTTTTCAAAAGGGTGCATACTTGATTGTAGCTGAGTGAGGAGTGGAAAAGCTTTTAACTGAGGTAAGAACTAAAAGAGAGGGTTGCAACTAGAATATGTGTTGGTGAGGAGACCTAAATGGGGGCGAGAGAAAAATGTCGACTTACAATAAAGCTAGTGAAAAAGAAAAGAGTTTCCGCTTGTGTGGAAATGCCCTTCCTGTTTCTGAACTCTTTCTTGTCTCAGTGGATGTTAATGAAAAGTTTACAGCAGCGTCCTCGGGCACCTTCAAACCTTCTAAGCCCTTTGTGAGATGATATGAAATTTTTCTGTTCTTTATCTCCCCTGCTCTTATCTCCTTTTAGAAGTGATAAGAATCTTTTGATTAGCAGCAGAGGGCAACAGCAGGGCTCTACGACACAATTAAAACTCTTCCTTGTGGCAAACTTAAATGTCCATCTTCTGCATGCAGCATTTGCATTTTTAAATTTCGAGCTGTGTGTTATTTTTTTAGCCACTCAATGAGACAGAGGTTTTAACTTGTCTCAAATGCTGAACTTGGTGAATGGCAGATGCTTCTTTATATTTCTCTTTAGTAAAACAACCCCCCCCAAACCCCCCCCCCCCCACATTGCAGTGATTTCAGTGTCTGGCTTTGACCTTTCTTTTATGCTGCTTCTTTGGGTCAGTATTACTTTGAGAAGGGGAAAATGTATTTAAAATGCTAACACTTGTTTTGCTAAAGCCAATCTATTTGACCACTTGCTGGTCTTTAATGGCCTGAATTCGGAACTGTCATATGGATATGTTCTGCAATGTCCTGTTTTGAGCTGTATCGTTGTTGTTTTTTGGTATGCATGCACATTTTGTCTTTATGCTCCTTTGGTGGAGAGGAAGGTGGAATTGGAACATTGTGAGTGAAATAAATTGACACCCAATCTACTTAAACTTACCTGAGTTAAAAATGTAGTTTGAGTATTTGGTGTAGGAATACTGTCAAGAACATTGTGAGTAGGCAGGCTTTCTTTGCGCCCCCCCCCCCCATTCCCTCTTGGTGCCTTCCTTTTTAGTTTTCTGAATTATATCTTGAATTCAGGCAAGTTTGCAAAGTGGATTAGGCTTTCTACAAATAGATCACTTGAGAATCAAAATAAAGCATATGTGCTTCTAGATCATAGACTTCATTTGATCAGTTAATCAGTAATGCTGATAAATTTTAGATTTTATTTCACTAAGGGCAATGACAAGGCCTTTCTAGAGTCCTTAACATCGCACTGAATCATTATATTTGTTGCCTTGTGGAAGTAGAATAATTGGCATTTTCTACTATGGAACTAGAAACTGCACCAACAAATAAAGCTGAGGTTTAAAAAGTCAGTGTGTTCTAGTGGTTAGAGTGTCAGACTAGAATCTGGGAGACTTAGGTTTAAATCCTCACTTTGACATGATATCTGTTTGTGATGTTATGCCAGTCACTCTCTCTCAGCCAGAATTACCTCACAGAGTGGTTTTCTGAGGATAAAATAGAAGAGAGGAGAATGATGTTGTAAGCCACTGTTGGGGAGAAAAGTGGGGCATAAATATATAAAGTTAAGTGCAGTATTGTTTTGAAAAGCTAGCCCCCTGTCCTTTTAAACATCTTATAATACCGAAACGAGTATTGGCAAGTAATAAACTAAAGGCAAGGTGCTTGGTGAAGATCTTTAATTGGCACACAGGTTGTACCTGAATGTGATGGGGAGGAGGGAGGAGAAGTTTGGGGCACTGTGTCGGGCTAGACGTTCTTCAGTTGTGTAGTTCTTGATATTTATTTAGTCCTCTGGCAACAACAACATTTATTAAAAAGGAATCTTGGATGCCTTTTTGTTTTTCAGCTGCTGCCTTTTTTGTCACGTACGAGTGTATGAAAACCGTGCTCCACACAGATGCGTCTCCATATTTCGGTCCGGTAACACACATGCTGGCTGCCTCATTAGGAGAAGTAGTAAGTTACGCTGAAGTCTGCTTCTCCCCCCCCCCCCCCCCATGCCTGTGTGTGTGAAAGAAAGCAGCAGGCTAGAGGACATCTTCACAGGTGTGTAGTTGCATGAGGGAAAGCCCATATCCAAGGGAAGCTTGTTCCGTCTTCAACTCTAAATCCTCTACCTGAGGAACTGTGTAGGTGCTGTGGAGGATAAACCTAATAAATCTCTTCGGTCAGTGTTATTTAATGGACATCTGAGAACCTGGCTGTGTCAATTTTCTAATAAAGTCATACATGAACCCCAAATGTCAGGGCTTTTGTTTCTTTGAATTGTCTGCGACGGGTGACTTTCAATAGGTTAAGTTTTCTCCTCTTGGCACATGGGAGAACCTTTCCCCCCTAAAAGGTCTGTCAACAGAGTCCCTGATGGAATATGTTGCCCAGGGCTATTTTTGGGCAGGAACGCACAGGAACGGAGTTCCGGCTGGCTTTCATGTTGGCCACACCCAGCAGGAACGCATTAGCATAATAGGCCACACCCAACAGCAGAAACTCATAAGGATTGGCTACATTAGGGGTGTGTGGCCTAATATGCAAAGGATTTCCTGCTACAAAAAAGCCCTGGGCTTGGACAACAAAGAAAGTAAACAGAATAAGAAGCTAAAGGTGGGTGTGGCTGGATGAGCACACTTCTGGTAACATGGGGGTGCGGCCTAATATGCCAATGAGCTGTGCTGTCAGGGGTGTGGCCTAATATGCTAATGAGTTTCTGCTGTGGGGTGTGGCCTATTATGCTAATGAGTTCCTGCTGGGCTTTTTCTACAAAAAAAGCCCTGATGTCGCCTATCTTGAAAAAAAGCCATAGGAAGTCTCTCCTACTAAGGGTAATGAGGCCCAAAAGTCCCAACCCTGTAGGAGGTAGCATATTGTTTAATCACGGCTCTGAAGACACCAGTGTGTCCTAAGGGAGCCTTGGCTGTGGGGGCTGTGTGTTAATACAACTTCATGCAGCAGCCTTTCTGATCTAACGTGATTTCAAATGAGGTTCTTCTCCCTCACCTGCTTCTTGCTCACTTTCTTTTGGGATGGAAAGCCAAGCCAGTAATTGAACCAGAGATTTGGATTTGGTACAGTGCACCCCACTGTGTATCGTTGCCACAATCTGAGAGATTCCCTCCCCTCCACTGTCTCCTATCCAGCCTCACTCGATGGATTCCACTGTATCCCAAATTGCAAGCGAAAGGGGTGAGAGCTGTAATTATAGTCTTATTGATTAGTCATTAGGATTTAATCAGGCTGTAGCCACAGGGGATGGCTATTATTTTGCAAGTAGGTCTTAACTTTGAGTCTCCTCCCCCTCAAAAAGTACTTCATTTTCTTGGTTGTAACAAATGGGTAGTGGATATTTTATGAATATGTGTTTTGTAAAGCCTGTAGCTACAGTGGGGCATCTTGTGGCCTAGCCCCCTGACTTACTGCCCAGGTCTCTCGACTTCCCATCCAGTTGGTTTTCGGGATTAAAAAAATTTTTCACGCCGTGGCTGTGCCAAGCCATCACTACAGCCCTTTACCTCCAGGAGACCACCGTCGGGACGCCTCTTCTGTCTTAGTTGCAGCGCAGCAGTCCGCTTGCAGCTTACAGTGACTTTGGCTGCTGCAAGGGCCGCAGCCTATTTATAGTGCACCGCTGTTGAGGCTTTTTTGCTTTTGGGGCACCTTTCCCCAAAGGAAGGGTGCCTTTTGAGAAAGGGGTGCCGGACTTTGGGCCTGCCCAGCGCTATAAAAAGCCAGGCCAAGTTGGCCCAGGCAGGCAGCGCAGACAGCAGAGGCTAGCCACGCCATTTCCAACCTTCTGAGAAAAGAAGCGCGCTGCAGGTAAAGTGAGGCACTCCCCTTTGGGGCTGGACGCAGAGTGCATGAGGGGCACAGTCCCCCGCAGCATTTCATACCTTTTCTGAGACAGCCTGGGGTGTGTGTGAGGGGTGCCCCCTGACTTATTTAAATGCCCCCAAAGAAAATATCCTGGCTATGCCTCTGTTTGAAGCATTTGCCCATGAGTTATGATATTTCAGTGACATGGGCAATAGGGGCTTGAGCAAGCAACAAGCATTGTCTATTGAACAGAAACATGGTAGGTTCTGAAATATTCATAAGTTAATTAAGATGGTTCATGATATACATATTCTGGATGTTCAACCAAGTTTCTCTACGGGAGAGCAGTTGAATGTGCTGGTCAAAAAGTTGCAGAGAAAATGAAGTTTGCTGCCATTAGGACCTGGTGGAGAGTAGAGAGAAGAGGTTGCAGTTCTGTTGGAAGGAAACTCAAATTAAGGCTGCAACTAAATTGCCTGTAAATAAAGATGAATGGAGGCAGAGAGCAGTGGCAGATGCCGCCAGCAGATTCATCACACAATTAAAGGCCGAAATCAGCAAATTAGGAACTGTCAGGTACCTAACCAGCCACTCACATAGTTTCCCATGCATGTTTTCTTATATGTACATGTGTTTCGTCTCTGGTTTTTCTGCTCTTGCATCAGTGGTGTATGTGTGCGGAAGAATTAATCTCTTTGGGTAGTTTTGTTCTCCCCCAACATTTCACCCTCTCCCCCGGAAACTACCAACAAATGTAACTTTCTTTGTGTTAGGGAACAGGACTGTAGCTTGATGGCACATTGATCTGCAGTATAATAATTATTTCACTGCAACTCTAGTTAATGAAAGGGACACTGGAAAGAGAAAGTAAATAGTGCTTGTCAACTAAGTGGGATAAGGTAATGCAGTGGTCTAAAGTGATTAAAGATGCCTATATAGCTGTGGTTTGGTGTGTTCCTCTGTGAACTCACCTTAAGTTGAACCGCTGCTATGATGGCAGAGGTTGTGGAGCCCTGGAGATAGGGGTTAATTTATGGCTTTATGAAGCTGCGTATTAAGAGCAGAAAATGAAAGCAGACATGCAGCTGTAAACTATGGCTTGTGGTCCGTTTGGAAGCATGTGCTATGATTTAGATTCCAAACAGCTGTTAGTGGAAACTGTGGTGTGGTGTTTGAGTTTGGGTCCTCTTCTGACTCCAGCAAGAAGGATTTGCATGTTATACAATTTTATTTATTTATTTGATTTTTTTACCCTGCTCTCCCAGCCGAAGCAGGCTCAGGGCGGCTTACATAAAATTACAGGAGATAAAAACAATATAAATATCAGAATAAAACACAGCATAAAAGCACAACATAACTACTAACACCATTTATATGGTGGTGGTGGTGTAATAGTAGCAAAAGCGCAATGAATTGCTGTCAGCAGATGATTTTCTATGTTTCAGCCTTGTACAGTAGTCATGAAAATATACTAGCCTGCCTGCTCACACATATAAGGACTAGGGAAAAAATGGAACTAATGATATAAAGTTTTAAGTGTGTTTCTTTAAATGTTTGGCAAGTTGCAGAAGAACAAGGGGGGTGAAAGAGGGGGGTGAGTGAAGTGATTGGTTGATGACTGAGTGTATGGGTGGAGCTAAGAAGTGTATGTGGAGAAAATCAGTGTGTTTAGTCAGCAATTAACAGTCGGTCAGCCAGCAGTCTAGAGTCTGAGAAGCGGTCTTCTAATTAGAATCCCATATTAGAGCTGTGAAAAGCATTTAAGATTCTTAAAAAGAAGTAGAATACTTTAAAGGGCATATTAGCAAGTAGAGAGAGTCAAAACATAATATTGTTAAAGTATTATAAGTCTGTGAGAGACAGAAGCTGACAGAAACCCGAGTTTAAAGGGGAAAGATTAAACTGAGCTAAATAAAATAAAGACTGGATAAAGTACATTCCGAAGAGAAAGGGGGATTTGAGAATGAGGAGTGTTTGTGCAGTAAAAGAGTGTGATATCTCAGTCAGAAGTTATTAATAAACACTGTTTTATTCACTGAAGAGATAAGTTTCAAAACATCTTGAAACCAATATGCTTCTTGTACAGATAAAGTTTCATTTTGTTTTATGAAAACCTAGAGTTATATGCTGTTACAATACAACAATCTCATCTTCAGGACCACATAGTCCAATGAAGGAGTCTTAGAGCTTGGACAAAATACCTTGGGAGAGATTAATTAACAGGATTGGAATTAAATTCCTGGTGGCAGCGTTATGTACAGAGAGAGAGAAAAAACAAGGGAGTTAAACACACCATATCTAACTAGAGATGTAAAATTTCCGGAAATGTTGAAGCTTGGAAAAAAGCCCGGGTTTTTTTCGGGGGGAAACGGAAATTTTCGGAAAAAATTGAAAAAAATGCTACATTAGCATTTCTTTTGTCTTTTCTAGATTGAAAGTAATTCTGTTACTTTAGGAACATAAAATATGACTATGGACATTTTACTTGACATGAAATTATCACAACTAGCATATTAAAAATATAGTGTTTCCAAACAATTATTACAAACAGACTACCCACCCACATGCAAAAACAAAACTGAACCTTTTTTATTTTCTTCTGACAATCACACCTCCTAAAGGAAGAAATGAATCTTGTTCTTGCATTGGAGAGTTCAGTTTGTAACCTAGGACTTGCTTATCCTCAGTGCACAGAAATTAGATCAATCTGATACTATATATATATATTTTAGAAATGATTTGGAAAATATTTGAACACCTTGTCTTAAAATATTTTATTCATCATGTTAAAATAAAACATACCATAATCAATTTTTTTTCTTTTCTTTCCTTTTTTCAATTTTTCCAATTTTTCGGAAAAAAACAAAAAGGTTTCAGGAAAAAAAAATTTCCGGTTTTTTTCCGGGCCTTCACATCTCTACATCTAACCACACAATCTAAAAGAGAAGTTGTGACATGTGTTGGCTTAGCAGTGGGATAAAACAGCCTGAGGAGGAGAAAATATTATAGGTGGGAAAATAAAACATCCTGAAGAAACTCGGAGAGAAAGGTGTTTTGAGGGGACAGATAGCTGAAGAAATTTAATGTTTAATCACATTCTGTGAGGGAAATAGAATTGTTACAAGAGGGGACCCGCAACAAAATGTTGC